CAATCAGGGCTGCCAACTATCTTTAGTTATGAGGTGCAATATTGAGGATAAAAAAGTGCCAAAATGTGCCAAATAGAAAAATAAAAGTGCCAAAAAAGGTGTCATTTCTTTTAATCATTCACATTTAGCAATAAAATAAAGCTACATTTTCCAAACAAAAGTTCAATGATAAAATAAGATAAACCAGTTGAATAACCTTTATAAATTAGAAAACTTTAGTTGAGAAAAAGAAGTGCACGCAAAGGATTTCACAAAAATGTATTGAAATGTATTTTTTTTTTAAGAAGTGCCATTTTGGCATTTTGTGCCTAATTGAAAAATTAAGTGACATTTGAAGAAAAATAGGGACAAATGGCACGGTTTGAGCCAAGTTGGCATCCCTGCTTCTAATAAATTACAAATATAAAAATGTGAAATATCGAGGGCTTGAATTCATTAATACCCTCTATCTGCAATTTGCACAAAAACTAGTTTGTGATTTTAGAAACCATCTGGGACTTATTACCTGTCGTTATATAAGGTAGCATTAATATCACTGATGACAGTTAAATCTTAGGTGGATTTTTATATCAGAATCTCATCTTTGTGAAAAGTGTGCAGATAGAGGGTATTATTGAATATAAGCCCTCGATGTTTAAAATAAATAACAATTTTATTTCAACGTATACAAAAAATAAGTCTACCTGCGATACAGCACGAGCGCGAGCGCGACGCGGGCCGCCGCGAAGCTAAGCAAATTTAATGTTTGAAAGAGAAATAATGTCAATGGATTTTATTTCGTTTTTAAAAAGGTAATAATGTCAATTGACTTTATTTCGTACCAGGGTGGGAAATAAAGTCAACTGACCTTATTTCCATTGATCTTATTACCTGTCACCTAATTTTCATAAAAAATATTTGAATGTGCTAAGAAACAAGCAGTATGTTATCGATTATTTTTAAAAAGTTTTAAGGATAATTTTATTTGCTGGAAATTAATTTTGTTTCCATTGCATAATTTGATTTGTTTTACGCTTCGCGACATAGATTTTACCAAAATTTTTTAGTAAAATTTTCAATATTTCTTCCTATTTGTGAAGTTTGGTATATGTATTTCAAAACGGTATCCTTCTCTTTTGAATAAGTAAAAATCTTTTTGAGGAGTAGCTCTTACAAATCTTCAGTGGAATTCAAGCCCATATTTGAAGCTAGATACTCGCACGGTGTGAACAACAACGTCTCGCTGTTGGAATTTCCAAATATCTTCGGTCGAAATGCCTGAAAAGTTTGTCAACTTAATGCACAAGGAATATGTCTGCATCTGGGATATACATTTTTCTCAAGGTGAAAAGGTTGTATATTTTTTTCAAAGCTATACGCTTCTTACTTTAAATAATAGATCCGTTTCGGCAAGGGCATGTTTGCCATGGAAGTCGAATGACTCTCCAATAGTTACGGTGGGCATCTGAATCAACTACTTATATTGAAGTTTTTTTCATCACTGAAAATCCCGTTTTTCAATTATTACTACAAAGTTTATATTTTTTGTAAAATGCTAAAAACTCATT